TCTCAAACATGGCAGCATCTTTGAAACGTCCATCTTCTATCTACCTCTGGGTGATAGTCTATACAGTCTATACACATTTATGAAAACATCTATAGTGATAGTGAATCACCAAAACAGATGGACACACATGAATACACACCAATTGGTGATGTTCCATTTGGAACTGGGGGTTAGCAATTTTCAGCATGTTTACAATCCACTTCCTAGCGGCCTAGGGAAGGTGACCCAATGTCAAACCCCATGCCATAATCCTAACTTTGGGGTATGGTTTTTACATCCCATGAAACATGTGATGACTTGGGGATGGCTTATGGCCTTGGGTTTTTACCACATCACTGATTTTGGGTATTTTTGATCATGTTCACCTGTGCCGCCATACAAATTTTGGATCCTAGTTCTTCACAGTTGAAACATCTGTTGGACCCACTGTCGGTTTTCTTACAGGAATCCTGGGTGAGGATCGTTCCACAATTGTGGAGTAGAGAAGAACCCAACTCTGAAAAGACATGCTGTTGCTTTGACATGTTTGAAGCCTAGTCTTGGATGACATCGATGGCTTTCCAATGGAATGTGGAGGACAGACTAGGGGAGTCCCACTTCTAGCCTGCTAAGCTGTTACCACTAGGCTTGTCCTGCAGTATGTGGGGTTCAAAACCCAAGTGCTTGTAAGTTTCTGAAATATTCACCAGTTAAAGATGGAGCATGCTGGAACGATATACTAGTATACACCCAGAACTGGTATATAAAGGAGTCCATCATTACAGAAGGTTTTGCGTAACTTCCTTTGGCCTACAGAGCTTTTTTTTTGGCTCAGACAAATTGGTCGTTGGCGCCCGCCGCGGGTGGAAACGACGAATAGTACCTGGTGACAAGGCACTTTTTTCCCCCTGCTTTGGAGGATCACATTTCTGGGTGGTGACATCGTGACTGTGGTTCACCCGGTTAACCACTTAAAAAGGTGATGTCTGAAGTGGATCTTAAGGAAACCCTGCTTGTTGGCGACACGAGGGATATGGCCGGCGAAAACCAACAGGAACCCCTCTATCTTTTTGATGCGAAATTCGCCTCGCGGTTTCGTATGATTGGTTGCTGAGATGGCGATGGGGAGAGAGAGATTGGTTGAAACATTATTGTATATTACCTTGGTAAACAAACATAACTATGGAAAATCACCATTTTGTAGCTGGGTAAATCAACTATTTCGACTGGGCCATTTTCGATAGCCATGTTTGTTTACCAGAGGGTATATCCCATTAATATCCCATTGAATCACTATAAAATCCCATTGAATCACTATTCACTATAAAATCCCATTAAATCACTATAAAATCCCATAAAATCACTCTAAAATCCCATTAGATCACTCTAAAATCCCATTAAATCACTATAAAATCCCATTAAATCACTATAAAATCCCATTAAATCACGTATAAAATCGCATTAAATCACTATAAAAATCCCATTCAATTCCATTAAATCAGGGTTTTTCCAGTTCTTGATCTTCGATGATTATTTTATTGTGGGGCAAGGCCCGCCTCAAAGCCGGGGTCATGAGAAGTCGGCCGGAATACAAATACCCAGGGAAACACTCCGGGGGATTTGTCAGCGGCTAGCTAAAACTAAACCACTTAAAAATGTTTGGTATTGACATTTGGGTATGGGTCAAAATTAAAGACCTGGGGACCACAGATTTTAGTCTATTTTTAGTATTAACCCTCCAATTATTGAGGGACCCAATTTCGACTCACCCATTTGAGGAATACCCTCTGGTAAACGTTCACATGACGAACTGGAAAGATCCACCATTTTGTAGCTGAGTAAATCCCCTATAAATTGCCAAATTTTCAATAGCTATGTTAATATAAACGTTTACCAGGCCGGGTACGTCCTGGAACCTGGAAGCTTGGATCCTTCCACCTTTACATGTCAAAATGACTCAGTGAATAAAATTGATGATCTCTTCGGACATGCTAAAGTCGAAATAGAGGTGTGTGAACATGTTTTGTGCCCAACAGTGGGTGGTTTATTAGAGTAAAACCATGAACTTCCCTTAAGTTAGAATTTGGATTTGGAGGGTTTTTGGGCCATGTTCAGAGCCATATGTGTTTGTCCAACTTTAAAGTGCGTAGCTTCTGCCAATCAAATTTGGTGCGACTTGCTGAACGTCCTGTTTTAAACAAATAGTGGTGATTTAAGCAACAAAAATTATGATATAATGGGAATATACACGGATATGCTGAGAGAAATTAAGAGTTTTTGACCATTGGAATAGCTGGAACATCTGAAGATTTATAGACCAAGTATGGGGATATAATTAATGCCTATCCACAGTTGTGAAACAGTTTGCCCATACTATCCATTTTTTTGGGGGGGGAGAGGCCATCTACTCCCGAAAAACCATAGGATATCAACATATCAAACTAACATAGCTATTGAACATGGTCCATTTGTAGTTGATTTACATATATATTAAAAGTGGTGATTTTCCAGTTCGCAAACTGTTAGTTTACCAGAGGGTAGCCATCCCACCAATGATACCCTGGTGCCTTTCACTTTGGAGGTGCATTTCGAAGAAATGCCGGATGAGGCTGTCGAACAGGCTGGAGCGCTGCCAGGTGGTTTCAAATGTTTGATCTTCTCTGATGATACCCCATGACCAATATATTTCTTTGGAGCATCGCTTTTTCAAATAACATATAACAGGATGTAAACATATGAGCCGGCATCTAAATGTAAAGTAAATTTATATGGAGCGTTCACTGCAGATATGTTTTTTTTGGGGGATTTGGCTTGGAAAACAATAGGGGACGTCCTAAAAACGATAGCCCCTTATCTTACCGGGATTTGATTGAGGCTATAACAGAGCTTATAGCCATCAGTCTCCGATGTTGCAGAATTTCTTGATGAATATCACCATGCTTGTTGCTTCAGGATCAGGAATCATTTCTTGGACGCTATCTCAGTTGGAAAAATCATATTATTGCTGAAATCACCTTGTAAAGCCATGTAAAATCTACATTTGTGGACACAGCCAGTCCACATTTTGCCCCTGGTTAAACCATAGACATATTGGGTGAAATCCGCGGGTAGATCTCGTGGTACCACCCACCATACTCTGCCATTTAAGGATTATTATTTTTTTCCTACCATGTCCACCATTTGGTCATATGTACCTACTATTATGATATAGACATGTCTAGGTTTCATATTCTTTGGTCATATGTAGGATCACATGATCATACTTAAGCTCGTTTTCCAAAGAAAAAGAACAGATCTTTCTGCCATTTCAAGGACCTTTTGACCGATCTATTGGAGATAGCTACCATCAATAAGGCCTACTGCGGTGCTCAGATTCCTGGTCTCCAAGTCACCATGGGTCGCCTCGCCAGGAACCAGGTCGGGTTGACTCGATGCTGTCCGACGAGGCGCCGGGATTTCATGCGATGGTCGAAGTATTTCATGGGGCTTGAAATGTGATTCAGTTGGAATTTAATGGATATTCATGGAGTACTTGTAGGTTGGGGTTTTGCAGTGATTTAAAATATTTAAATGGATGTTCATAATCGCATTTTATAGTGATTCAATATTTGGGGTATTAATGGATAAATGGAGGTTAATGGAATATTCCCTCCGGTGTCATCAAACATGGCTTGCTGGCAAATCCCACAGTTCGATGTTTTTCCCGCTATAAACCTCCATTTCGAGGATGAATCTGTGGCAAAAAATCTGGGGAAACCATCATGGTGTGGGGTGACCAGCAAAATGGGGATTCAGCCAAGACCAAAACTGTGATGAATCTGACTGGTGATGGCTTGAATCAAAAGAACCTATCCAATCCCCTGCGGTAAATGGAATATGTCCCAATGCCCAATACTCTTGGATTTATTATGCAACGGGTGTGTTTTTTTTAATGTGTTTTTTTTTAATGTTGAGGCCTGGTGACTTTGATGTTTGGGGCCCCGAAAGATTAGCAAGCTTAGCTGTAGCTATTGCAAGCCTCAAAAAGATAGACCAGTGATTTATAGTGATTTATTGATTTGGAATTTTACGTTCCCCGATCTTTTCAGGGGTTGCTATAGGCCAACGGAAAGGCTTTACGGTGCATATCTCACTGTGACGTCATTGGAATGCTGGTTATGATTTGGAAGGGTCAAATGTCAGCTAACATGTATTTGCGAGTCTTGTTTGCCGAAGAAAAGGGGACAATGATGGTTCCATTCCTGCGTCAAAAATGAATTAATTATGTGCTTTATGTACTTGCAAAATTGGCTGAGTGTCTTGCAAAATTGGCTGCAGATTTTTGGAAACCATATATATTTATATAATGGGGAAATTTACATGTTCCTGCGCAAAAAAATGGCAGAAATCACCGCCCAGTTTTTTCCGGGAAAAAGAAGGCAACAAGGCCAAACACAACATAGTTCAAAAAGCAAGTGATACTGTGGATGGAAGAAATCCTGCAGCAGTTGGCAGATTAGATGTAAGAAATCCAATTTAAATCCCATTGGTATCCCAGTGTTTCATAGTTACAGATAGGAATCCCAACTAGTGCATGATGATCATGACGGCTTGTCCATCCACAGTGTTTTTTGACTTGTTAATGGTTTGTTTGTTTTGTGTTCCATCCTGCCTAAGATCATGATCTGCATTGATTCTTATATTTCAGGCCCTTTTGTCGCTCAAGCCCCAAGACAGTGAACCACTGTAAGGCGCTACAAGGTGGTTATAAACGAAAATGCCTGGGAAGGCCCATCGTTTTCACCATCCAAAACGGTGATAAATCACCCAAGATCGTTGTAGAATTCGGTATTTCTTGCTGGAATCTTACTGGAATCTTCGGAATGGTCCTGTTAGCGGATACCCTCCTGTAAACTAACAGATGTAGAAAACCCACCATTTGCAGAAATCATTTGAAGATGGTTTCTGAATGGGATACCATGTTTTCCCACATCTGTAAAACAGTTTGTAAACGTTTACCCCATGGGTCCCATATGGGTCCCATGAATGGTACCTTTTTGTGGTTTCATAGTGGTGAGTGCCCCAGTGCGCCTTGCCAGGATGAGTACGAGGCAGAAGACAACAACCTGGAACCCACGGAACGGGTGGATGCGGATGATGAGTTCGGTGTGGAGGCCGATGATGTGGAGGACGTGTCCCAGCTGGAAATCGCTCCTCGGCGGAGCCGTGAAAGACTTGTGACGCTTTTTGAATGGGAAACATGGGCGTGGGGAAAAGATGTGGGAATCTGATGTTTGGGTGTTGAAATTGAAACTGGGATGTGGAAACAATGGGGATTTGTAAATGGATTTGAAAATTGTTCAGGATGACCACTTTTTGGACGAAACTATTTGAAATTGGTGGTCTTTGACTGAAAGAAAAGAGGTGATGGTAACAAGTCTGCACCTGTTCCGAGATTGACAAGGTAACAAACTTTATGACGTATGGCTTCAGTTTCACCACCAAGTGTCATCAATGGTTCATGAGCTGTCCGGATCTTAGATCATCCCAACAACGGCATGTCTACGTCAAATTTAAAGAAACTCCATTTTCCGGATGCTCTGGAAATATTTTGCGCTACCGGAACAAAACGGAGTGACCATATTGTTTTCACAGTTGCTTTTTTCGGGAATTTGGGGCTTGGCTGTTGGGTTCCGCTCATTTTCTACGTCTCAAAATGAGCGTAATGTTCTGTGGGGTGACGTGTGCTGTGCCCAGCATCTTTCGAGAAGATGCAGGCTGTTGGCTGTGGTTGTAAATGTTACCCACTTCAGCTGCGGACGGGGGCACCCTGCCAGAAGCACGGCTGCTTTCCGGTAGCCATGTTGCGGAAATCGTCTTCTTTGGGATGTACAGAGTATATTGCGACAAAATGAGCCCGGAGAATTTTTCTAGGCACCGGCGATTCCGACAAAAAACCCTAAGACTAGATGCATGTAGATGCTATAATATCGGAGGATTCCGAGAGACTATGGTGGAGATATGCTGGCGAGTATGTATGCTATTCTCTCGATACATCCGCTGTTTGCCTGGAAAATATCAAACTCTCTAGCTCTAGCCCTGTGTATTCAGAGGATCCCGCTTTGTTATCCCAAGTTGTGTTTGGGAAATGTCCATTTCCCTGTGGCTTTTGGATGCTTTTGGTTGTTGGATTAGTTTAGTTTGTTCTTGTTTTGCCCCAGTGTGGTTTCCGTCAGCAAAGATAATCCCATACCCCGTCCCCCTAATATAAAACACCCCCCAGAAACCGTGGATTAGGGCATTTATTCCAACAGCCAAGCCCCAAAGAGTTGAGTCAAGGCAACAAAAACACAACGGGGAGGGAGAGAGAGAGAGAGAGAAAGAGAGAGAGAGAGAGAGCAAAAAAGTCATCCCGTCATCCCCCAAACATGTTCTGGTTGGTGGTTTGGAACATGACTTTTATTTTCCATTTCATACATGGGATGGGATGTAATGTGATGTCATCCTTCCCATTGACGTTCATATTTTTCAAGATGGTTATTGCACCACCAACCAGATGTTGTTCACATTTATTCTGTAAGATTAGGACCTAGAAACGTAGTATAACGTATAACGTAGTTTCGCGTTTCCCCCAAAAGCTTTAACAAAAGTAATATATGTGCCCCCTTCACTTTACCACAAGGTGGATCAAGGTGGTGCCCCCAGTTATAAGTTGGTTTATAAACCATAGTATATATAGATCTCCCATAAACCCTAGTTATTGGATGTTGACCAAAGGCAGCTTAAAAAACTCGCAACTGCATGCCCAGGAGATAGAAACCTTTGGCGAGTTGAGATTATCGGAGCAAGTCATCACCAAAGTCCAGGCGATTTTGCAGTTTTGAATGGGGATTCAGCCAGCAAAAACTATGTAACAAATAGTGGTACTGCTAGGTGGTTTGGAACATGACTTTTATTTTCCATTTCATATATGGGATGTCATCCTTCCCAGTTCATATTTTTCAAGATGGTTGAAACCACCAACCAGGGTAATTATGAATACTGTAAAGAGAATATAATAGTGGTATCAGAGGGGGTTTGTTTTTTTTTTCACCCTAAGATGGCTTTTTTTATGGCATGTCATGTGTAATTGGATATCGGGATTGCGAACCATTTGATGGGAATATAATGGTGATGACATGTGGGTACAATGGGACATCTAACCAACAAATGCAACATTTGGGTAAATTCATCACGGCCTCATATCGCGATGTCATTGGAATGATGATGAATGATGGTTAAAGGAATCATCCCCAAACGGCTTTATTACATGTGAGTGAAAAAACGAATACTGTATATGTCATCGCGATGGGTAATTACTTTGCCCCAAAGTTACTTAGCAGTTCCAAGAAAAATACGCAGGATACTCTACAGGATAGATTTGTTTTCACAGGCATTCACGGGAAACTCACGTTTTTGTTTTGCCCCAAGTAGTACTTGCAAGGAAACGATTCAAGAAATCCCTCTAGTTTTTTTTTGGGTTTCTGATGAAGATGGCAAAAAGTCAAGACCATGGTTCCGTGTGCATTTTCTGCTGTGTCTATCCGTTGAGAACTGGGTGTCTATCATCAACGAGAATCGGATGCGTATCAAACCCGGGACTTTCATCAAAATTAGCATACAATGAATGAGAGAGGATTCGGTTGGCAAACCTTGTTTAGTTTGGCATTGCAGCACTGGGAATGATTTGTCTTGCATCCATTGTGGGCAATGAATGAGGAATACGATTTTGCCATTAAAGTTTGATAGAGTTTCACTCGTTACAGGTGCAGTTCACAATTTTGCCATGGAATGCCATTTGATTTTTACAACACTTTGACAGGTCTATAGAACAATATCTGCTGCGAATGACTGCCTTGGACATTTTCCAAGACCGGTCTCCATTTGTATCTGCCGTGCGGCGTAGGCTTTATCACATATTTATAGTTTTATTTTCGCGTTTCTCGCCTCCAATATACCGTTAATATGTAAATATATCTACATGTTAATATACCGTTAAAATACCATAAATAATATACCAATACATGCCGATATTGATTGCTAATTGAATGCAAACATGAACCTCTTGGTGATTATATACGTCTGCTGAACATGAATTACTGAACCACCATTTTATTTGTTTTTATTTGCATAAACCTAAAGTTTGCCGATATGATCCCCAGTTTGGTTGGTACTTAATATAATATATATATATGTACATATGTACCAAATTGGTGTGTTGCTGGTTTCCGATTTTTACGTGCTTTTGTTGGTCATATAGAAGCCGACTTTTTTCTGCTTCAAGTCCACAAGCTCACATTCTTTATGATCAAAGCCATTTAGCGTTTTTTTTGGCTGGCTCAATTCTCCAATCTTTCACACGTTTAATATATTTTAATACTCTTTGTTCCTACATACCGCAACCCATGGTTTGTAAGTGTTACTATAATTTGCTTCCCACCTTCAAATCAACACACACACAAACAACTCCTTTTTACCATGATGGTTCTTGAACAAAATATGGAAAAATTGACATCACAACTTGACCTCCGTAGTCCCCAAAAAGTGATGCCCATCAAGATGCCGACAAGTATGCTGTCAAAACTAGCACCGCTTAAGTAGACATGTTGTTTTTCTATGGTTCTTGGGGGGATTGTGAAAAATGGCCATTATATAACCACTAGCCATGATATATGATATAATTATATATAATTATATATATGTGATGCAACTTAACCAACATTATATGATGTATGTGTGTGTATATATATATATTATATATATGTGTATATATATATACAATACAGTGGGTGGAAGAAACCCCGCACCAGTTGGTAGATGGTTTATGCCATTATTTTTTCATCCCAAGATATTTACACTGTTTCATGTAGTTTTCAATAGTTACACTGGTGCAGGATAGCTTTTTCACACTAGAGCATGATAGCAAACCACTAGGTCTCTAATGTAAAACGACATGTCATAAACCACCCATGGCTGGGAAATGGTAGCCATATCACCTATACCATCTGGTAATTTAACATAGCTTTTGACAATTGTATATAGTTGATTTACCCACTAAAAATGGTGAACTTCAACAGCTATGGATAGAAATGATGATTTGTCCACAGTAGAACCATCTGTTTTCGATCAAAATCAGCGATCAAAATCGGATCAAAATCGCCGTGAATCGCGGCGCTCCAGGCTGGTTTGGCCTTGCTCATCGAACAGGTGGGCTCAGTGGAAGCCGCCGGGGAGGCCATCTACTCCACGCTCTTCGAAGCCGCGCCCAGATGCTCGGCGCGTTTTTTTCGAGTTGGAGGTGGAGGATTTGGGGAAAGGCAGCCGTTTCTTCCATATGTTTGGACGCAATGTGGTGGAAGATGTTTGATATTCCAAGGGGTATGAAGATTATGAAGGCTCGGGGGTATCGACCCCACCATGACGAAATCAGGAATTGGAAACAAAAACACGAATTCCAAGAAACATGATGACAAATGAGGATTGATAGGTTGTTTTTAATCGCGAATGGATTCATGGTGGATATATATATATATATATATATGCATATATAAATATATATAAATACATACACACACCGAAGCAGTTAATTCATTGGGGTTTATATAAAATTTATAAACCATTTTTTTTGGGGGGGGGCCACCACCAGGTGGGATGAACCACACAAACCAAAAGAGCCCCCCCCAAAACCAAGGTGTTGGTCTTAGAAAGGAAAAATACAGGATGGTTTGACACACACAAACATATATATATAATCATATATAAGAATTTATAATCATATGTAATCATATTTTTAATCATATATAATAATGTATATATATATATACATAATCATGTGTTCATAATCATATATGATTATATGCACATATATATACATACATATTCATGATTCATGTATATATATATATAACCACTTATATATATATACATACATGTGTATATATATATATTCACAGGAAAGTAAGTGGTGGTCGGTGACCATACTACATTATTAGACTTTAAGCGTCACTTCGAAACCCCACCTGTACTTAGAGTTCTTGTAGTGACGTCACCCCGGAAGTTTGAAGTCATTTTGAAAAATCCTTGGGGTCAAGATTCAAGATTTCCCCAAACATGTTTCTGTTCAAATTATGAGTGTAAGGGATCCTAGACTCAAGATTGAAGATATCCCAAAAAGAATCATGGCAGCCTTGCATCTTGAATCCAGTGGGACTTTAAAGTTCCTTTGGCGTCTCTACAGGAGAGATATATAATGCTCAAATAGTAACGGACAAAATATGTCAAAACTGATTTTTGGTGCGCATCCGCTATGGTATCCAGTGCGTAATTTCCTTAATCTACACAGGAAATCCAACAGGACCAACAGTGCAAACCCTTGGACCACCAGATGTCATCTCAACATCCCTCAGTGCGCTTCCGGATGCCGACCAGCCGTTGAACTGGAAGATTTGTTTTGAAAAGAAAAGGGACAACAAAATAAAATGGGAACAGGGTATGCGTTGCAGTTTTTTCTGAATACAATCTATAGCAATACTGGAACTGACACACTAAAGTCACTAAAAACTGCGACACTTATATATATATATATATTTATCACGGATATTCATAGATAGCTGATGATAGCGGTCTTTTTGGCAAAAATGATAGAACTCACACAGACACACACACACACACTGGTATAGGTGGTATATTATTACATAGGTCATTGACAACGAGCATCATGAAACAGTATTTTGATCACGGCCTTTGTTTCTGCACATGCGTAAGAGGAAGAACGAATTCCCGGTGGACATACTTTTCGCGTTGGCACCAGAATTAGGTTGAAACTGAGGTAGGTCAAAATAGAAGACTTACAATCGACTATAGAGACCAAGTGTGGCGTTGGAAAACGAGGTCAATGATCAAAACAAAGGCAGGGTTTCTGGAAACGAGGCAGGAGGAAGTAAGAGGGCAACTCATTGATATGCAGATATAATATTATACCAATTCACGTAGCAATGTGTTCAACCCAAAGTTTGAAACATATTATAAATTATGTAAAAACTGTAGACTAAGACTGGAACATGACGAAACATATGCATACCAAAATTGTGTTCGTGAACATGGGCAAGCACATGCACATTGATAGGTAAAGAAACATGAGAAATCGCAAGCCCATAGCCAATTATTTGAAACAGTTGGGTCACAGTGATGCTCTTGATGAGTCCAACCATCCAACACATATGCAGGGAACGTTCAGACTAACATCTTACTTAATGCGTTTGGCAGCTCTATCGGCAATTATATAATGTCAATTGCAAATTAAATGCTACGTTAAGTGAATGTTCAATGTGGACAGCATCTAGCAAACAGTTTGGGCGACGGGGACCACCTGCTGATGGAAAGGTTTGTCTTCATGATCCATATTCCGTCAATTACATAAGCATAGTAAAGATCCCATTGCAAAAGAAACACAACTCAGAAAATGTGTTCTGAATTAATAATTACTGGATTACATCCACAGAGACACAAGGAGACATAAACATGCATTGGACAAAGATATGGTTAGTTCTTCTGTCGAGGCAACAAATGAGGGGATGAGCTGGTAGTTGTATGGAAGCACCCTGTACGTTGCTCTTTAATGGTGTACAGGAAGCTATCTTAAAATGAAATACACCTATTGATAATACATATTATAATAAAATTGGCAGCATAGAAAACACACACACACCTACCTCTTTCAAAACCTCAAACTTCAGCAAAAACAACAAACGTACATACCAGTTTTTAGATGCATAAAATATGTTGGTTTTGTGATGTTTTGTGGGTCTTCTACATATAAACTGAGTCATCATACACCCACTGTTTTTTTGCCGTGGGATTTCTGGGACAATTTTGGGATCCCAAGATTTTGTGGCCTTGGCACTGCCGCACGAGGCTTGCAGAGTCTCTACAAGACCCCGCGGGCCGTCTCTTGGCGATCTTGGGACCATTTTGTATGGTTTTTGTTGGCGAAAAAAACCAACTGAGAATCATCCAGAACATTTCTAGATGGGTTTTAGGGGGATGAGCTAAAAATCCATGCAAAATCATCCAACTCATTTCCTTCAGGGTTGGGTTGGTTAGGGTTTAGTGAATTTCGGGTCGTTTAGTTAGCGTTTGATGCTGGGTTTATTCAACGTTGTTTAAAGTTTCTTCCGGGTTATTTATGATTGATTTTTGGTCTGTTTACGGTTTATTTAGGGTTGGGTTGGGTTATATTTTTGGGTTCCTTTAATGCTTCACGTCGAAACACTGTAAAGTACGGAGAATATGTTAAGGACATGGTTCAAAAGGTGATTTTGGCACCGTTTAGGTAGGCGCAAAAATGCAATGAGACGCAGGTAATTAATATCAGTATTTTGTATGCTAGCAGTGCTGTTTGCTAAAAAACACGTGCCGTCAAGCATGGAATTCCGTGGATTTCGGGCAAACGTCAGTCCCCTAGCGGAATATTTTTGTATACATATCATATCCATTGCTTGATGTTTCTGGGTCCCACTTCAGCACAACCATCCCGAGAATCAATCCACAAACTGTTGACATTGACTCGTGCAGACTGGAAGGAAAACTTGCATATGGCATACATTCAAACATATATGATAAACATATGTTTGGATAAGAGAGTCAACCTAGATGAATCTACAGAGATGGATGTAAGCATGTATAATGCCAGTTGGATAGACAGATAAGTAGATACATATGGGGCACTGTGTGAAGTAATCATCTCATATACCCCTAAGATCCCCTAAGTATTGAAATGTATTTGTACATGTGTTAACCCCTCTATGTACGCTATGTATGGATGAGACGGGACACCCTGAGCCTGTACAATTTCCATACAGCCATTTGTTCAAGAGAAAAATCACAAGGGCTCACAGTATCCCTTTCTACCATAGGTACAGCCCTTGCAATGGCATATGATCATATGGGTCAAACAATGGACTTTTTTCGCATCAACAAAAGATATTCAAGGCATTGAAGAGAACATGTACTTAAATCATCATAAATCATTTTAAATCATCTTCAATCATCTTCAATCATCTTAAATTCGCGTTCTTCTATTCCTGGAATTGTTCTTACGTGATTTACCTAAAGCACATCAATTCAAAGTGCAGGGCTGAAATTTTAAATTCCGATCCATCGATTCCGGTCCTTAAAACGACAGCACCAACAGATTTATCAAGCCATGGTTTTTGCAATTTTCCCCCCCAGCTTTTTTTTTGGTGGGTTTATGAAACATGTTGTTTTTTTTTGTTTTCCAGAAAACAAATGACATGAAACATGTTGGTTTATGAAAGATTGGTTTATGAAACATGTTGGTTTTGTTTTCCAGAAAACACATGACATGACTTGACTCGTTGAAAAATCTCCAAAAATCCCCATAGGTACAAGGGATGAAGTTCGCCCTCAGCATAGCCTTGATCATCTCCAAGTTGCGAGAACCGGTGCCTCGGTGCCGCCTTTGCCCATCGTCCATCGTTGATGTCTTTTCGAACTTTTTCAGCTGAAAAACCAGCTGAAAACGGTCGACGTTTTTGTTTTTGGTGAAGAAGACGTCACTGTAGGTGACGTAACTATAGCCACTTATAGCTATAGACAGACATTTTCGATGCACTGGACCCTTCTGAAACGTTCGGAAGAGTATTGCATCTTTGGGGAATACTTTACTCAACATGAATACGATGAACATAGACCCAGTGTAGCGACCTAGGTGGTAATCATTATATATAAATCAACTCTGTCCTCGTGCATCCGGCTTTTGTGAAATCGAAACTCTGGCAACAAATGGATTGTCAAATCCGGCAGTTCCAGATGAACTACTCTCTGATAATCGAACATGGCAAAGGACAATCTCATAAAATGTTCATTTAATTTATAGATGGTTTTCGTATGTTTTCGTATCAATCACTTCCACTTCTTGGGGGTTTGAACAATTGTGGTGTTTGATTACTGGAGGGGCATAGAAAATCCCCTGTTGGTTTTTCAAAAAAGCCGAGCTACGTCTCATTTCTTGATCCCCGGAAGTGAAAAAATGGGGTCCAGAAGACTGGCCCTATTGATTCCTTGCATGTCCTTTATATACTGAGCTGCTTGGTGTTTTTGAATCCGTTCTAAAAGCCGTTCTATTTTCGGGTACTACAAGTGGAATGTCCCCTTAAGCAGCCAGAACAGGGGATTAAAACCGCCAAGAACTTGGAATTCTGCCAGATGTCCTCCCATTAGCTGCTGAACACGATCAGGAGGATATGAAGATCATCGTTGAACAGTTGGGCTTTCAGCATATCACCACGGACGTGACGATCCCACGTAGCGGAGCTGGACAGTTGACTCGGTGGCGGACTGGGTGTGGGTATCATGTGTTTGTTCGATTTTTTTTTGCTTTTTTTTTGTTTGGGATGTTGATGGGTGCCTAAATCCTCCTATAGGCTGGGAACATGTGCCGCACTGAAATACCACATCTTGTGACTTACGTGATATTTTCGAAGGCCTCCGTCGGCGCGTCAGTCTCATATCCTCAAGCCAGAAAGCCTAAAATCCCGAAAGCCTGAGCAAACACCATTAAACCACAAAAACCATAGGAAATCCAAGGGAAAACCCATCCACTCCAAACACCATTAAACCCTAAAACCCTAAAGCCCTAAAGATCAAACTATCAATCTTAAAGGCCCAAGAGTTGTTGTGGGCGAAACCGGGTGTTGCGCAGTTGCACATACCATACACACATAGATGATTTACTGTAACATGAAACATGTCCAAACGGCGAACAGTTCATGGTTCGGGTCTTCGGTTTCACGAGAGCTCTTGGGCACTGGGCACTGGCGAGTTTGGACGTACTGACGTACTAGTCTCTTCGAAGTAGCATTGATGGCAAACGCATGCAAACGCAATGTCCGCCCTCTGGTAGTCAAACATGGCTTGCTGGCAAATCCCCCATTTACAGATGATGTTCCCTTTGGCATGCCATTTACAGATGGGGGATTTCCA